TCGTAGCCTGTAGTGTTTCTGATGAGAAGTCTGCTGTGAGTCTGATTGGAGATCCTCTGAGAGTAATCTGACGTTTCTCTCTTGCACATTTTAGGATCTTTTCTTTATGTTTCACTGTGGTAAGTTTAATTACCACGTGTCGTGGTGAGGATCTCTTTTGGTCATGTTTATTGGGGGTTCTATGAGCTTCCTGTACTAGGATGTCTCTGTCCTTCTCCAAACCTGGAAAGTTCTCTGCTAGTATCTCACTAAAAAAGGCCTTCTAATCCTTTCTCTCTCTCCATGCCTTCAGGAACTCCTAGAACCCGAATGTTGGTTTTTTTAATAGTATCCTGAAGATTCCCAACAATGTTTTTTAGATTTCTAATTTCCTCTTCTTTTCTTTGGTTTGACTGTATGTTTTCCTGTGCTCTATCTTCTAAGTCCGATATTCTCTCTTCTGCTTCACCCATTCTGTTTTTAAGGCTTTATAATGTGTTTGTCATTTGATCTATTGAGCTCCTCATTTCATTTTGATTTCTCTTCACTATCACACTTTCCTGCTCTACTAGTTTCTGTGTTTCATTTTGATTCTTCCTTAAAATTTCATTTTCACGAGAGAGATTTTCAATCCTGTCCAATAAGGATTTCTGTAGTTCAAGGATTTGCTTTTGAAAACTTCTAAATGTTCTTATCATAAATTTTTTGAAATCCGTATCTTGCATTTCTTCTATCTCATCATCTTCATAATCTTGGTTTGGGGCATTTTGTTTATTTGGAGGCATCATAGTGTCATCGTTGATCTTGTTCCCTCGATTTCTGTGTTTGTTGCTTGGCATAGTTAATTCTTCTTTCGTCACTGTGCGTTTTTTTGTTTTTTTTTTTCTTTTTTAAATTTTTTTTTTAATTTTATACTATGTCCGTGTTAAGTGGACTGCCTGCTGTTGGAGGAGCCTTGGAGGCTTGAGATGGGTGTGGCCTGAGAGCTCTGCTTGGTTCTTCCTGGTTAAGGGTGTGCAAAGGTGACACCCTCAGGTTATGCGTGGTAAATCTCTTTATTTATTTATTTATTTATTTTATTCAGGAGGTAAGTAACACCGCATGGCATGGCTGTGCAGAATTGATGGTATTTAGCTTCCAGTCTCTGGCTTCTACCCAAAGAGTCTGTTTAGGCTCCTCTGGACTCCCACTGGGTTGCCTAGGCTACTGAATTGTAGTGACTCAGTTCCTTAGCTCTCCCCTGTTGATATGTAAATCCAGAGAGGGGGCCTGCTCTTTGTCTCTTGTGAGTTCTTCAAGCCTTGCAGCCTTGCAACCTTTGCAAGGTTAGCGTAGGGGAAAGAGAAACCCCCAAGCTTTTTTTTTTTTTTTTCCTTCTTTCCGGTAGTGAGTTTGCTGCACTTTCCGGCCCCCCTCTAGATTCTGACCCCCGTTTCCCCGCCAATGTCTCGGGTTATTGAGCTCACCTCCCCTTCCAGCGCCGATGTGTGGACTCGGAGCCCTGGACGTCGCAACTCTCCCCGCTGTTGTCTGTGTGACATGCACTCCCCTTCCCACACTGGTGCGCAGACCCTGCGGCTTCCGCGGCACCCGCGTCTCCCGCGGCTCGGCTTCCGCGCGGTGGATGACCTTGTTCTCCCAGTAGGTCCTCCGATTCACAGCCACTCGATCCAGAAGAGTTTCCTCTGCAATATTTTCCTGGTTCTTTTTTCTGAGGCTACCATAACTCCCCTTTTATTAAACTAAATTTTCCCGGACTATCGGTGCGCGCCCTCACTATTCCGCCATCTTGGCTCCGCCCCCCAGATCATTGCAGATATTATCTCCTAACCTGTGCCTGTTCATTTCATTAATCTTGCCTCACCCTGAGTCAGCATGTCAATTTTGATGAATACAGTTTCTCCACTTTTATTCTTTTTGTTTGTTGCTTAGCCAGAGTCACAAAGAATTTCTTTTAGAATTTTCATAGTTTTTAAGCTTTTACATTTATTTTTGCTAATAACCCATTTCAGGTTAATTTTTACATGTGGAATAAACATCAAACTCTGTTTGATGTTACATGTATATATCCAATTGTTTCAGCCCCATTTGTTGAAGAGACCATCTTTTCTCCACTAAGTTACCCAAGAAATTTCACTGGAAATGAATTAGCCATATAAGTGTAGGATGTGTTTCTGCTGTTCTGTTTCATTTTTCTATATATCTGGCTTCCCTTTGTGTGCCACATTAAGTTGGTAGTGAGAGCTAAAAATCAGGTAGTATCAGGTAGTAGCTAAAAATTGCTGTATTACCCTAATTCCTTTATATATATAAAATGAAGAATCAGTTTGTTAATGTATAGAAAGAAGCACACCAGGAGTTTTGATTAGTACTGCTTTGAATATGTAGATCAATTTAAAGGATAAATGTCATTTTAATATTGATTCTTCAGTCTATGCACATGGTATACCTCTACATTTATTTCTCTTAACAGTGTTTAATAGTGTCCGACTTGCACATATTAAATTTACCACCAAGAATTTCATAAATTTGATGTTATAAGTGGTATTCCAATGTTCATTCGCTACTAGTATAAATAAATGGATTTTTTAAAAAGATTTACTTATTGGGAAGGCAGAGTTAGAGAGGGAGAGATGTCCCTACTATCTGCTTGTTCACTCTCCAAATGGCCACAATGACCAAGGCTGGGCCAGGCTGAACTCACTTCTTGTCTCCCACATGGGAGACAGGGACCCAAGTACTTGTGCCTGGGAAAGTTGCAGAAGACGGCCCATTAGTAGGGAGCTGGATCAGGACTGCAGCAGCTTGGACTTGAACCAGCACTTCTATGGGATGTCAGGTGTCATCCCACTGTGCCACAAAACCCCAGAAATTGATTTTTTTTTTATGGTCTATTGAATGATTTGAGAGTAAAGGTAGCTTTACTTTTCCTTTTCAATCTGTAGGACTTTATCACTACAGTAGGGCAAAGGGAAACAAACTTAGCATACTCTAACAACTGCTATCATATTAACATCACACACATTTGTGGCCCTTAGATATGTGGGATTGAGAAATTCAGGCTAATTTTTCAAGCACACCTTCCTAGCTAACCCCTGAATGAGCATCTCTGCCCTTGTACACTGCTAGGAGTAGGGAAAAGGCTGAGAAGCACGTCTTCACATACTGCTTAAAAAAGCCTTGCTATTCAGTATAACCTTAGCTGAGTGAATACTGGTATTGAAACTCAGCCATGTGGTTCTAAGATCACAGTTCTAAGTGTGCAGCCCACCGTATTCTCTTGCCCTCCCCACTGTTCTGCAGGTGAAGGTTTCTATGATTGGGAAACTTCACTAGACATTCCAGTACTAATGAGGTTGATACTTTACTCATGCACCTATGTTTGGTTAATTCCAATTCAACAGCAAAAAAGAAACAGCTGGGCTGAATTGAAGGTCAGAGAGGCCTCTCATCAATCTAGCCTGGGTACATAATTCTGTCAATAAGTTGGGTATGTCACATGTAGCAAGAAATGATTTTCATTGCTAAATTTAGAAACCACCCAGACCTTCAGGCAAAACTGTGATGTCTGCCTTATTCCCTCCCAAATCCCAGTCACTTTGTACCCTCTTGCTATCCCAGTTAGTACTCCTACCTAACAAGATTGCTCTCCCACATCCCAAAGTAGGAATACACTCTTTTCAGTACCCTAAGTAAGTCTTGCATTATGAGAAAGTTATAGCAACTAGTTAATTATAATTGAGTAATTCATTCTTTCATGTGAATTAGAGCATCAAATTTTCACTTTAAATACATTTTATAATGATGTTAGCCACCTTCTTTGATCACTTAGAAAAGATGATCTCCATGAGTCCTCCCAGAGGGTGTGTCTGTTTTGAAAGTCCACACAGAGAGCCCAGCCCCAAAACACAACTTCCTATTGCTTTTTCTGCGTAGAACTATACCCATCACCCAATTTTCTCCCAGTTTCCCGCTCCAACCTCCATATCAGATCATGACCCCTGGAGTGCCTGTTATCCTGACCACATAATTGAGAATCTCTGGGAGCAAACCCAGGACTTATTATTTTCAATCAGTTCCTCCACAGACTACTAGGCCATTGGAGTTGGGAACCATGGCTGCCCTCCTCAGCTAAGGAACAGGTCTCTGCGATTGCCAGTAACTGCCATCAAATGTCTGCCCCACATTCAACATAGATACTTGCCACTCACCTACACAGGCATATGCTCTCTGTTTGGTATTTTGAAAAACAAAAGAATAAAATCACCTATTTATAAGTCAAAACTATAATAAAACTTTTGAAGAAGTTTCTTTCCCCAGAATCAAGATTACAAGCAAAGCAATCCCTAACATTTTACTGTATTTATTTTTTAGGCTGCTACAGCAAAATTATCACAAACTTGGTGACTTAAAACAATAGGAAGGCTGGAGTTGTGGCATAGCAGGTAAAGCTGCCACCTGTAACACCAGCATCCCACGTGGGTGCCAATTCAAGTCCCAACTGCCCCACTTCCCATCCAGCTCATGTGCCTGGGAAACAGCAAAGGATGGGAACATGAGGGAGACCTGGAGGAAGCTCCTGGCTTTGACCTGGCCTTTGTGACCATTTGGGAGTGAGCCAGCAGATGGAAGATCCCTCTGCAACTGTACCTTTCAAGTAGATAAGACTTATTTTTAAAAAGTATATGAAAAGTTTGTATTGTCACAGTTCTGGAAGCCAGAAGTCTGAAATCATGGTGCTGGCAGGACCACAAAACCTTCCCAAAGCTCCAGGAGCAAATTCTCCCTTATCTTTTCCAGCTTCTGGTAGCTCCTGGCATCCTTTAGCTGGCCCTGCACAACTTCCCTCTGCCTCTATCCTCTTGTGGCTCCGTGTGCCCTTTTCTGTCTAAGGACATTCCCTTTGGAATTAGACCATAAGTAACCAAGTACGATCTCATCTCAGTCCATCTACCTTATGTCCAAAAAGGGCACATTCTTTTAGGGTGATCATTCACCCTTCTGCATATGTACTCACTTACCTCCTTAATGATTGTTCCCGCAGCTTAAAGTTCAGTATCAATAGCTACTCAACCAGATGTTGACCCTTCATACACTGTAACTGAAATCAAACAGAAAGTTCCGTCTTACTAAGGTGGCTATTTTATATTGTTGTAGAATAAATGTTTATGTCCCCCTAAAATTCAATTTTGTGAAAGCCTAAATCCCTGTTGTGATGTTGTAGTAGAACCTTTGGAGGTAATTAGCTCATAATGGTGAAACCCCTGTGAATAAGCCCTTATATAAACAAACAAGGCCGTCACTCTCTGCTCTCTACTATGTAGAAATACAACAAGTGATTGCCGCTTCAAACCAGACACCAGATCTATGAGAACTGAGTGTTCATTGTATACACCACCAGTCTCTGGGTTATTACAGTAGCCCTACCTGACAGATCCATACACCAGTTCATTGAATTGGATCCCTAGGTGGAAGCACTTTTCTTTCACTACTCCCTGTCTCCTAATGAGTATTTGCAAAGAAAGAATCTGCCTCTTACTCCCTGGTTTACCTTAGTGGTCCCCAAGCCTCTTTTGCTTCAATGGAGCCGTTATTTACTTAGGAAATGACTGGCTAGATTATCAGTCCTGACCTCTCCTTTCTGATGAAACCCAACAGCTTACTACAAAGTAAATATACATGCTTAACAGAACCCAAACCCCCATTCACTGCATTGCTGCTTTGGGAATTTTGTCGACACTGAGGAATTTCTAGATGGTAAAGTTTGAGAAACATTTAGAAGAGCCTTTTATTCCTGTCTTAGATAAGAAAGTCCAGACAATTGATTCTAGATTCCTCAGGATGCCGAAATCCCCAAGAGGTTTCTGCTGGGAAAAGCATAAGGGAAATTGTAGTTATTCAAAACTAGAACTTGTAAGTTGATGAATGTCAACGGCCACCCCTATAGTATTCTGATGGTTGTAAAGCACTGAGAGTGCTTGGGTTAATTTCCAGCGTAGTGTAACATTAGCACCTGGCTTTGACATAGGCTAAGGGAGCAAAAAAGGTACAGAAAAACCAGCAACACGTCACCTGTTTTGGCCAGAAGTTGGTATATGATATTACCATCATATCACTATATCTGGGCTGTTCTGTTCCTGGAAACCTATGTTTCTGTACTACATACAGTCTCTCTCTCTCATATATATATAAGATGACATATGTATATATGTCATCCCACATACTATATTAAGAGTAGCACTTCCTGTTGTTTTGCCATCTCAGAAGGACCAGACACTTCTTTCTGCAGTTGAGCTATACCTAACCTGATTCTCAATCCTCTTAGTGGAAAAGAGGGAACAGTTCCTCAGATTATCCCTTCTTCCCAGCCTTTGCACAGATGAAGAACTGGGCATACAGGAGGCCTACGTTTGAGAATTCACTGTTTGAACTTTTGAATAATCCCTTTACCACCACCATGACTGCTCTCTGTTTTAATAAGTCTTCTAAAGTATAGAACTGAAGAGTGAATTCGGACTGTTTCTACTAAACAGTACGAAGGTCATGAAATGTATTCCCTGGTAGGACATTTAATTGGTTGTTTTGGGGAGAAGAGTATGAGGTTATTGTAGAGGGCAGAAGTGAGAGACAGTCTTAGAATAGACACAGTCAGGCTCAGAAATCTCCCCACACACCATCCCTGCTCCAGAAGGTCTTGAAGATTAGTAAGCCTGTATCGCAGAATGCATAGAGCTGGGTTGCAGTCATCCTGGTTGATGAGAAAAACCTTGTTTTAGCAAGATCCTCAATCCTTAGTCAAGCTGAGGCCAGTTTACTGAATGTGAATTTTGGTTTGTGAGTAATGGAAAAAAGATAACTTAATTCTTGAGTCATTTAAGGAGAAAGCTAATCCAGGAAGTGTAGCACAAGGCTAAGGCAGCATGACAGCAGCCTTGAGACCAGAACGACTCCCGATGCAGAACAGAGCTGTCATCACATCAACAGGCATTCAGCTTTTACTTTGCAGTTGGACTGCTTGCCCCCACCCACTTGACAGTACACCATCCTCACTAATTGTCAAAGGAGAAAAGAGTGAAATTGCCAGTAACTGTTACATGCAAAATCACAAAGACAATAATGAGGGGGAATAGCAACATTAGACTTTGCTTTGGGGCATATCTTTATAGGTTTAAGCCATATTACTATTACTGGATATTTTCCAGATTTACCAGATTGTAGTTTAGAGATTCTGCTCATGTACAAAGTGGATGGTAGGGCCTAGCTTCCAGATCTGTGGAGCAGCCAATTAGGCTTTGTTTACAAGTGGATAACAGGCAAATTACATAATTTCCACTCATTTACACTTTCTGTAAAACTAACAGACCTACTCAAGATAGTGTTCATAATGTGCTTACGAGATGAAAATATGTAGTACAAGATTAAGTGAAACTCTACATAGAGACAACAGAGTCTTCTCATTTATTACAGAATTCATTTCGCTACTAAACATAGTAGACTGCCTTTGCACACTGGTTAGCAAGAAGCACCTTTGTTTTCCTCTAGCCCTCCAAGGGCAGTGTTATTCCCACTTTGCAGATGAGGCTCTGAGTCCCTGAGAGTTAAGTAACTTGCTCAAGGTCAATGCATGGGTACAAACCTAGGTCACTCTATAGCTGCCAGCTCCTAGAAAGAGCTGCCCATTTGAAAGGCATGGGAGACAGGTCTAGAGCTGTTTAACTGTGGTCCTCCCGCAGTGCCTGTGGCCGTGTCAACACTGCACCAGAGGGATAATACCTTGGGAGTTGTTAGGATACACAAAAGTGACCATGTACCCTGATGATTTACAGGAGTAAGGATCTTCTGCTGTTATGAGTGTACCCCAAAAACGTCTACAGCCCTGTTTGGCACTGTAAGACTTGCTGAATGAATAATGCCCAGCCCATAGCAGGCACTTGGTACACAGCATCGCCAGTTGCCCTCAGTCAGTGCTAAGGTCAAAGCACGCAGGCTAATCATCTGCGGTTCCCAGTCCCCTTCACTTCAGAGGCCAACAAGGGAGCAGGCTGTGCATGTGCTGACACATGCAATCCTAATCTGTTAGTGATTTCTGTCTGGCTGTTTTGGCAACATCTAACAAGTTTGTTGAGCCCGACACTAAAATAAAATACATTGTTTGTCGCTTTGCATTCACAATGACTTTTTGATGTGTTATACTAGTTTAACACATCCTCTTCCTTTTAAAGAATGATAATAAAAACAAAGAAGACATTAGTTTTTTGAAATTGGCTGAAAAAAATCCATGTCACCAACAATGCAGTCCACAGATGCACAGGTTTAAGCAGCAGTTACACTAAATAAGAGCTGGGAATTGTGTAAAAATTAAAAACTAGTACGCTTTGCCTATCCTTTTACTTAAATAGCACATTATGTTGTATTCATTGCTGTCCATTTTTCCTGTGCAATTTATATTCTAAAACTCCCTGGAGTTGAAGAAAGACATGGATGTGAGTACAGCTGCTAGGCTGGCCTGCCCATACCTGGGTACTAAATAAAAAGTAAATTTATTCTGGGGCAAGAAATAATTATTACTTTTTATTTCCTGTAACTTTCCTCTCCTATTTCCTTTTAGATTCCTCTCTTTTTTTTCTAATTTCCAAGATGAGTAGCTGGGCCTTTTTAGTAATGAAGCATGTTAGAGCTGAAGTTTTTCTTTTGAATACAGCTCTGACTCTATCCCTTACATTCTCTTAGTCATTCCCTATTAGGTAGTTCAGAATTTTCCTTTCAGTCTCATCCAAGGGTTATCTTTAAAACAACTTGAATGGGATATATTTTGTTTTAATGAAATTTTTGAGTGTATGAATTGTAAAATCTCCATTTTCATAAAATATATCTAAATCTTGCCCCCAAGTAAATAATCATTTTATAAATGTCCATTAATTTTTAGGAACATGTCAGTCTGTACAGATCTGTTAACTCAAATTTATTGATAATTACCCAATTCCTTTAATTATTTCTTATATAGTGCAATTTTCTATTTAATGGAGAAAACCTAAAGCCTACACATGATTTTATTATTTTTGTTTCTGTTTGCATTTCTGACCTTTTTTTCCTTTTAGTATTCGACAGCTAAGACTGGTTCATACAGGTGTTGTGTATGTGTTTACATTTACTTAAAACATTTACTTGAGAGGCAGAGTGACAGAAAACTCCCATCCACTGGTTCTCGCCCCAAATGCTTACAATGGCCAGGACCAAAGCCAGGAACTCAGTCATGTGAGCCATCAGCAGCAGAGCCAGGACTCGCGTCTAAGTACTCTGATATGGGGTGTGGACATCCTCACCAGCATCTTAATATCTAGGTCAAACAAACTCCCATGCAGGTGTTCAATTAATAATTTACTCAGAAAAACTGACCCTATGAATATATGCTGAAAATATATTTGATAAAGTCAAGCCACTCCCTAATGAGAATTAGAAAAAATAAATATAATTCTGTTGCAGTATGCATATTTCAGATGTAAATGTTACAAATGCTACAGTACTAAAACCACATTTTGGTTGAATTCAAAACTGCCCATTTTGTCACTAAATCAATGCTAATGAAAGCAATAAAAATTGAACATAAAACTGTTTTTGCTGCTGATTAGTCAAAATGAGTCTAAAAAAATCTAGAATTAGAATTTGTTGAGTCCAAGATAATGTATAATAGCTTTTCTCTATTCTAGTGGCAATTGCCTAAAAACAGAAATAGGAAAACATCAATTCACAATAGTGACAGAAATTATGAACTGTTCAGGAATACTTTGTAAAAGAAACTCACAGAAGCCGTGTAAAGAAAACTTAGATCTGATTAGAAGAAAATAAAAGACATGCCCTTTTCCTAGATGACAAGACAGTATAAAAATGTCTTTTCTTCCAAAATGGTAATGTGACTATAAGGCAACTCTGATTTCAAGATGTGATCTTCTTAGGGGGAGAGCAGGCAGTGTGGTATTGGTTTTTTTTGGAGTTGAATTAGATATTCTTACAGTTTATGTAGTTAAATATTCAACACAGTTGACCAGGAGGAGCCAAGTATGGTATGAAACAGAATACAAAGGCAGACTTGCTTTTCCAGAT